ATTAGAAACCTTCAATTCCATCATCAAGATGATGCAAAGACATTTATAATGGGAGAAAATGTTTGTAAGTCATATATAATACAGACTTTTATTCCATAAGTATAAAGAATTCTTACAACCCAACAATGAAAAGTAACACAATTTTACAATGGACAAATAGTTGGAGTGCATATTTCTTTATATGTATGATAAATTACATTATCACATAAAAGAAACTCACCACCATTATCTTTAGAGAATTGTCAATCAATAGTGCAACAATATACTACTTCATATCCACCAGATGACTTTAAAAGGAAAAGAATAGCAATGGTGAGACTATGACAAGATGATGGACACCTATTGCCACCTTAGAAAACAGTTCAACGTAAATTACTCAAAATCTTGTTTTACTCCAGGTGCTCATCCTAGCTACTTATGAGGCTGAGATCTGAGCATCACAGTTCAAAGCCTGCCCATGCAGAAAAGTCTATGCAACTCCTTTCTCCAAAATTGCCACCAGAAAACCAAAAGTGGAACTGTGGCTCAAAATGGTAGAGCATTAGCCTTGAGCACAAAAGCTCAATGAGACAGTGCTGAGGACCTGAGTTCAAGCCCTATGACCGACAATTTTTTTTTTCCTTTTGTGCTGGTACTAGGGCTTAATTTCAGGGCTTCTCACTCATGCTAAGCTTTTTCACTCAAGGCTGGCACTCTGCTAGTTAAGTCACACCTCTACTCCAACTTTGTACTGGTTAGGTAGAGATAAGAGTCTTAGGTTTATCTGCCTGGGCTGGCTTTGAACTTCAATCCTCAGATCTCAACTACTGAATATTTAGGATTACAGGTATGAGCCACTGGCACCACCTTCAAAGTTTTAAACAGAATTACCACATAACTCAGCAATCCCTCTCATAAGTATATACCCAAGAAAATAAAAGATATATGTCCATACAAAAATACATCACATGATGTTTATCACATCATTATTCATAACAGTCAAAAAAACCAAAGATCCAATATCTATCAAATGATAAATTAATAAACATAGTGCATCTATATAATGCAATATTATTCTGTAATTAAATAAAATAAAGCATTGATACATACTATATCATGATAATCCTTCCAAACATTATGCTAGGTAAAAAGTCATTCACATATTGACCACATATTATATAATTATATCTATATAAAATGTCCAAAATAGGCAAATATACTTAGAAACAAAAGGTAGCCTAGTAATTTCTAAAGACCAGACTGAGAAGTAAATGGAAAGTAACACTCAATAAACAGTTTTTTGCTGGTGGTCAGGGAGTATCATAATTTAGGTATGGTGTTTGCACAACATAGATATCCTTAAAAACATTAAATTCATACTTTTAAGGTATGTAAGTTAAATTTATACCTATCATATGATCCACGCATTCCATTCTTACATGTTTATGCAACTGAAAAGAAAATGGCTCTCTGTCTGTGACTTCTACATTTATGTATTCAACCATCCACATAGCAAGCATATTTTGGAAAATTGTTTCAGTACTGAACATGTACACACGTATTTTTTATCATTATTCCTTAAACAATTCCTTAAACAATATTATTATTAACATAGCACTTACAATTATTAGGTGTTTTAAGTAATCTAGTGTATGAGTGGTCCAAGCATGGTGATATTCATCTGTAATCCTAGCATGAAGGTGGCTAATGTAGGAGGATCATGAGTCTAAGACTATCTTGGCAAAAATAGGTAAGTTCCAGGATAGCTTGGGAAGAAACTGTTTCAAAATGAAAATATGAGGGGGGAGAAACACAACAAATCAAAGAAAGGTTGGACAAATGGGATTGCATGAAGTTGCAGAACTTCTGCATGGCAAAGGACATAGCTAGCAAGATAAATAGAAAGTCCATGGATTGGGAGAAGATCTTCACTAGCCATACAACGGACAAGGGTCTCATATCTAAAATATACCTGGAACTCAAAAAATTAAATCCCCCAACAACAAATCCTCAAAGGAACAACTGCCCAATAAATAAGTGGGCTGAAGACTTAAAGAGAAACTTCTCTGGAGAGGAAATAAGAATGGTCAATAGACACATGAAGAAATGCTCAACCTCTCTAGCCATAAAAGAAATGCAAATCAAAACAACATTGAGATATCACCTTACCCCAGTTAGAATGGCTATAATCAAGAACTCTAATAACAACAGATGCTGGAGGGGATGTGGCCAGAAGGGAACATTACTGCATTGTTGGTGGGAATGTAAACTTGTTCAACCACTTTGGAAAGTAGTGTGGAGGCCTCAAAAGACTCCGCATCGAGGTCCCCTATGACCCAACAATCCCACTTTTGGGCATTTACCAGAATGATCACAAACAAGACCATATTAAAACTACCAGCACAACTATGTTTATTGCAGCATTATTTACCATAGCTAAGATATGGAACCAACCCAGATGCCCCTCAGTAGATGAATGGATCAAGAAAATGTGGTGTAGATATACACAATGTAATTCTATGCCTCCATCAGAAAGAATGACACCGCCCCATTTGTTAGGAAATGGAAAGACTTGGAAAAAATTATATTAAGTGAAGTAAGCCAGGCCCAAAGAAACATAGGTCCCATGGTTTCCCTTATTTGCAATAACTAGTATATATCTGAGACAAGTAGAAAAGGTCAGATAAGATAATGTTAAGCGAAATGAACCCCAAGATAAGGACACAAGTGGTTTTTTCTTGCTTGCTATTGTTTCAAACGTATTTATAAGGTACCATGTGATTTTTTTGTTGCTTTGTATGTCCCTCCCCCATGGTATAACCCCTGTTTTCACTGTATTTGATGTTGGTATAATTTGTGGAGGGGAAGGGAAAAAACAAATTATTTAAATAGGGATACAAGTTGACACATTGCAACAATGAGATGTACAAGACACTATGTTGAAAAACGAACTTTACAATTTGCGGGAGGGGGGGGCGGAATGTAGTTGTGGAGATGGGAGGGAAGGGATGGTAGAGGAAAATCAAAGGAGAAGGCAACAATGCTTGATAAGAAATGTACTCATTTCCTTGCTCATGTGATTGTAACCCCTCTGTACAGTATTTTCACAATAAAAAACTCATTAAAAAAAGAAAATAAGAGGGGAAGATATGCGTAGTTTAAATGCAAATGCCACACCATTTTATATAATGGATTTGAGCATCCACAGATTTTGGTATTTGAATTAATCTTTTACAAATGTCAATGGAAAACTGTGTATTATAAAGACCTGAATGTTCTTAGCAGCTTTATTTATAATATCCAAAATCTAGAAACAACGAAAATGACCATCAATATGTATACTATTCAGCAATAATAAAAAAGAAGTGTAAGTTGAATATCCACTATTTGAATATTTGAGGACTAGAGTGTTTAAGGATTTATTTTTTGGATTTTGAACACTTGCATTTATATAATGAAATGTCTTAGGGTATGAGCCAAGTCTAAATGCAAAATTCATTATTGTTTCATGTATACCTTATAATACCTTATAAAATGAAAGCAATTTTATCTAATATTTTTAGAGTACCTATGTTTTGAGTGCAACTCATCATTTCAAACTATGCAATTTTCCACTTATGGCATCATATCAGTTTCTCAAAAAATTTCAGATTTGAAGCTTTTTTTTTTTTTTTGGACAGATATTTTTTTTTTCATTGTGAAAATACCATACAGAGGGGGGTTACAATTACATGGGCAAGGTGATGAGTACGTTTCTTTTTTTTTTTTTTTTTCTGGTCGTATGGCTTGAACTCTGGGCCTGGGCACTGTCCCTCAGCTCTTCAGCTCAAGGATAGTACTCTACCACTTGAGCCACAGGACTACTTCCAGCTTTTTCTGTTTATGTGGTGCTGAGGAATCGAACCCAGGGTCTCGTGCATGCAAGGCAAGCACTCTACCACTAAGCCACATTCCCAGCCCTATGAGTACATTTCTTATCAAGCATTGTTGCCTCCTCCTTTGTTTCCCCTTCCCATCCCTTCCTATATCCCCCCCCCCCACTCTGCCCTCCGCTCCCCCTTTCCCCTTGGCCAAAGTTGTAAAGTTCGTTTTTCCACATAGTATCTTGTACATCTCATTGTTGCAATGGGTTAACCTGTATCCCTATTTAAACAATTTGTTTTTTTCCTTCCCCTCCACAAATTATACCAACATCAAATATAGCGAAAATAGGGGTTATACCATGGGAGAGACTTGGAACATTTTGAGTTTCAGACTTTCAGATTAGAGATACAATCAATAATACTGGTGAATATCAGAATAGTTATGCTGACTAAAAGAAACTAAACAAAAAGAATACATCCTTTATAATTCTACCTAAGACTAGAAGATGTAAATCAATTTATCATGATAGAAAGTCAATTCTGAGCATGGAATTTCTCAGAGATGCCAGAAAAAGCAATTATAAAGGAGCATGTGAGAATTTGAAAGTGATGAATGATGTTCATGATCCTAACTGGTGATACTTTGATAGTTGTGTACATATAGGGTATATGTTGTCATAAGTATATAAAAAGTCAAGACTTAACAAAAGTGTATAGTGTATTATTTGTTGATTATATGAATTTGTTTGTAATCTTAGTCAAAATAAGAAAAAATAAACTCCTAATAATTTGTGTGATATATAATACAGACTACTATAATGAATGTTCCATGGAAGACATTGAGGTATGGTAACTTAATGGAATTACCGTATGATAAGGGTAGAGTGTTGGAGAAGGTGGGATAAGGAAGCACTAAATAGCTGGACTATGAAACACTTATTTTTGTTTGGATTTATTTTTACTGGTATGAGTCAATATTTGATGCTTCTGAGGAAAGTAATTTTGTATAAAATTTTTCCTACATGTTAAGGAATAATTCAGACTGGTAGTCCCTTACCCAACTGTGGCCAATTTGAGTTTAAAGCATATGTTTTTAGGTTCTATCCTTACTGAAAATTCAGCTTACTCTTAGTCTGCCGAATCTCTTGTTCTCCTCAGTCATATACACCTCCAAGCAACGAGTTCAAAATCAGCATGAAACTGGAAGCACAGGACCCCAGAAACACCACATCCACCTGTATTGCCACAGTAGTTGGACTAACAGGTGCTCGCCTCCGCCTGCGACTTGATGGCAGTGACAACAAGAATGACTTCTGGCGGCTGGTTGACTCAGCTGAGATTCAGCCTATTGGAAACTGTGAGAAGAATGGTGGTATGCTGCAGCCTCCACTGGGTGAGTCACTAGGCCCAGGCTCTCACTAGCTATCACTGAGGTTCTAAAAATTATATGTCCTGTTAAGGGAAAGCCTAGTTTCCCCTGCCTACCCCTTCTTCTTCATGTGATCCCCAAAACAAGCCCATCTAAAATAGAATGAAAAATCTGCATAAGATTTCCATCTGTACAGCAGCTTATGATATCCAATCTTCTCTTGCCCTCTTCCTTTCCTTAACAGTCAACCACACCCTTCTTCCTTTTTTGTAAGCACATTTACCCTGAGAGAGAAAATGCAAGGCAATCTTGCCACTTAATTTACTTCAAAAATCAGTGGTATACACACTGTATTTACTATCTGTGACTCATCAAGAATGTTGAGATAAACTACAGTTATACTTGATAGGAAAGGATTCCTCCTCACCTTGAAGTTAAAGAGTAGGACACTTGAGTATTTAATTGGTAATATTCAGGCCTTGCCCTGCTTTTGAAGAAGCTAGCTAGTAAAGAACCTTGAGGTCTAGGGTAAAACCATCACATATTGAAACCTGTCCCCCATACTTACTAGCATGACTTTACATAATCTACTTCCTTGTGAACTTTCCATCTTCTTTATACTGGGAGTAAATAATTCTGTCTGCCTCATTGTATTATTTCCAGGATTAAAAAATGGCATATGGAGTATTTAGTACATGGCAATCATTCATACATTTTGGCTGTTATGATGACACTATTATAAAAATATCCAGTGCTAAGAGGATGACAACTTCTCAAAGTGCAGATAAGATAGAAGACCCTCAGTAAAGTTTTGCTTTCAAATGGAATTGAGCTGGGTACCAGCTGAGACTCAGAGGATCACAGTTTGAAGCCCACCCAGGCAGAAAAGTCTGTGAGACTTTGCAAAATAACTAGAAAATACTAGGCTGGAGGTATGGCTAGAAGAGTGACAACTGATCAGTCCAGCCTAATGAGCACAGGTCCCTGAGTTCAAATCCTAGTATTCTTACCCTTGTTGGGTGCCAGTGGCTCATGCCTGTAATCCTAGCTACTCAGGAGGCTTAGACCTGAAGTTCATAGTTCAAAGCCAGCACAGGCAGGAAAGTCTATGAGACTTCTATCACCTGGAGCACCTGGAATTCAAATTTGAAAACCTAAGTACAACAGTGATCTTAATTTTAACAATCCGTTAACTAAATGGTACATTTTTATTGACTTTTACTTGATGGACAATGAACAATTTATCTCCCTAGTTATCTCCTTAATCTTTTGGAAAATGAAGAAATTTGAGTAGGATGACCTCCAGTTACACTGTTTCCTGATCCTTAGTTTAAGTAAATAAGAAATATAAAAAAGCATTTTATACTTGATACGTGTATACATATGTGTCCTTGTAAGAGAATGAAAGAGAGAAAATTTGTGAGTGAGTTTATATTGAGCTAGACCAGTTATTCAATTGTGCATTGAGCTTCTCAGTTGACTTGTATGGTTTCTTAAGACTCATACACCCTTCTCCCCTCACCCCTTTTTTTTGGTCGGTTGTGGGGCTTGAACTCCGGGCTTGGGCATTGTCCCTGCGCTCTTCAGCTCAAAGCGAGTGCTCTACCGCTTGAGCCACAGCGCCACTTCTGGTTTTCTAGTGGTTTATTGGAAATAAGAGTCTCATGGATTTTCCTGCCCGGGCTGGCTTTGAACCACGATCCTCAGATCTCAGCCTCCTGAATAGCTAGGATTACAGGCATGAGCCATCACCGGGACCTGGCTGACCTCCTCCTCTTTTACACTGTTTTGGCTACATTTCTTAAGTATTTGCTTATCCTATCTTAATCAATTCTCTGGATTTTTCAAGGAAACATTCCAGACATTATGATATATATTCTGTGCTGTTTTTCTTAGAGTCAGGAACTTGGTTCAGAGACCCTCTTGCACTACCTATTTTGTAGCAATAGCCTGGACCAGTTACATTTCTTGCAATGTTCCTCCTTTTCTTCATCTGTCTAATAAAACATTCTTCTATTTAATTTTTAAATACTTTTTTTTTTTTTTTGGGTCCGGTCGTGGGGCCTGAACTCTGGGCCTGGGCGCTGTCCCTCAGCTCTTCAGCTTAAGGCTAGCACTCTACCACTTGAGCCACAGCGCCACTTCCGGCTTTTTTCTTTTTGCTTATGTGGTGCTGAGGAATCGAACCCAGGGCCTCAGGTATGCAAGGCAAGCGCTCTACCACTGAGCCACCTTCTCAGCCCAACTTTTAAATACTTTCTAACAGTCTGTATTCTATTAATATCATAGCATAAATTGTGGCAATAATCTGGATTCCAAAAGGAAGAACTTTATTGCTCCATGCCTTTTAGAACATTTTTTATCTGTTCTTCCTTATGTTTGCTGCAGGATTTCGGCTGAATGCCTCTTCTTGGCCTATGTTCCTTTTGAAGACATTAAATGGTGCAGAGATGGCGCCCATCAGGATTTTCCACAAGGTATGCTGTCCTTCAAGCTAAGCTGCTTAAGGTCAAATACTTGCTACTTCTCAATTACTGAGCTGCTTGTGTCTCCATTATTTTTATGGCCTAAGTACCTTCACAGAAACTAGTTTGAAAAACGTTTCAGTACCTATGAAGAAGCCATTATTCTTGTAGAAATGTATTAATAGTCCTGCCTTGCAGGACATAGCTGTCAAAAATATGATAAATGAATTACAAGATACTTTTAGACCTTATCACTACCTTTTAAGGTTATTAAGAAATTAAAATGTATTTAATGGGGTACTATGGTGGCTCTTACCTGTAATACTGACTACTAAAAGGCTGAGATTGGGGGTGGGGTAGGGGGGGATAGTGATATTAGTCTAGACTGGCAGAAAAGTCTATGAGATTCCTTTTCCAGGTATGGAAGCTGAATACGGTGGTTCATATCTGTGATGATCTTAGTGGTGTCAGAAAGCTTATAGTTGGTAGATCATGATTCAAGTATGTATCCAGGCAGGAAGCAAGACCTTATCCCAAAAAATAGTGGAAAATAGAGCGAGACGCCCTGAGTTTAAACTTCTAGTAATGTCAAAAGAAAAAAATTAATATGTTTATTAGTAGAACTATAAAATATAATACAAATCTATCTGGATATGGTAGTTTACACCAGTAATCCTAGTATTCAATAAGCTGAAATCAGGAGAATCAGGGTTCATTAGCAGCTTCAGCAAAATTTATTAGATCCCATGTCAACCAACAAATACTGGTGATAGTGGAGTGTGCCTGTCATTCCAGCTACTGCGAGAAATGGTGAAGTCCAGGTAAGCCTAGGTAAAAAACTAGATTATATCTCAAAAATAACCAAAGGAAAAAGACTTAAAGGCATGGCTTGAATAAGTAGTATCTACCTAGCAAGTATAGGCCCTTTATTAAAACCTCAGTGCCAGACTTCCCCAACAGTGACCCCCCCAAAAAAGAATGTAATACAAATCTAAAAGAACAATTCTCAGAGTCTTTTATAAATAAAGGAGGAGACTATTTTTTGAGTGCCTACAATATGTTTGGACTTATATATATATAATATATATATATTCATGTAATACCCAAATTCTAACTAAGAATTATTAGATCCATTTAATAATTAAAGAAGCATACTTTTACTGGACACTAGTGGCTCACGCTTGTAATCCTAGCTAGTCAAGAGGCTGAGATCTGAGGATCACGGTTCAAAGCCAACCCCCAGTTGGAAAGTGTCTTAGATTCTTATTTCCAGTTAACCACCAGAAAACTGGAAGTAGAGCTGTGGTTCAAAAGTGGTAGAGTGCTAGCCTTGAGCAAAAAGAGCTCAGGAACAATGCCCAGGCCCTGAGTTCAAGTCCCATGACCAACCACAACAAAAAAAAAGCATACTTTTGAGTAAGGAACTTACTCATAATCACATGGCTAGTAAGTGGCCACAGAAATCTAAAACCTGTATTATTTGTTCTTGTTTCTCAAGAGGAACTCTGATGGAGTGACAGTTACTGTAAAGGAGACTAGCTTAGATTTTTTTCTGCTGTCTAAATCCTAAGAGCATTCTGTCTTCTAAAGTAAAATGTACTAGGCAACTTGAAAGTACTTTAATTATAAAATACCTCAGAATGCCAGGAGTGAGGGAAATCCAACAAATAAATTTTTCAGTACTTTGATGTACATACCAGAAAGTAAGAATCTTCATACCAAAAAATTGGAAGAAAAAAAGTGTTAAGTGCTTGTATTAAACTTACTGTTGCATTGGGGCTGGGAAGGTGGCTCAGTGGTAGAGCGCTTGCCTAGCATGCATGAGGCTCTGGGTTCGATTCCTCAACACCACATAAGCAAAAAGAAAAAAGCTGGAAGTGGCGCTGTGGCTCAAGTGGTAGAGCGCTAGCCTTGAGCTGAGGAGCTGAGGGACAGCGCCCAGGCCCAGAGTTCAAGGCCCCATGACCGACCCAAAAATAAATAAATAAATAAATAAACTATTGTTGCATTAAGGGACTTAATCAATCTTAACTTTCCAAGAATCTTGTCTTTTTTACTTTGACATATAAAACAGGAAAGGAACTTTAGGGAGAAAAAAATCAAATCAGAGCCCTCAAATGTTTGCCTGTGCAAAAAATATGATTGATGATGAAGTCTTCACTGGACTCTGGGAAAGTGTAGGAATGAAGTCATCTCTAATTAAAGAGTCTTCTCCTTAAAGTCTGGGGTTTGCATCTATTCCTTGTATGGTCCAAAAACTCCAAAGTTATATGGAAGTATTTCTGGTGCTAGACAGAAGTAAGCTCAAAATCTCTCTAGAGATTTGATATCACAGAAATACTGAAAGTGAATGCCATTAAAATGAGCTCTTAGTCCGGAATTGAAAGCCCTCAAAAACTTTCAAAACAAATCTGACCTGACAAACTTCAAGGACTTTCAGACAATAGAAACCATGGTAGAGTTGTGGGTCAACTAGGAGAGTGCTAATGTTGAACAAAACAGCTCAGGGACAGCCCTCAGGCCCTAGGTTCAAGCCCCAGGACTGGTACCAAAGGAGAAAAAAAAAACTGACAAGAAATAGCAGCTGGAGAGTGTAAGTTAAAAATTTGAAAATGACTAAAGAACTGAAAAGAGGTAATACACAATATTCTTATATGGCAGATTAAAAAAATTAAGCATCAAGAAATAAAAAGCCTAGAAACTTCAAAACATTAAATGAAAATTAGCAAGTAGCTGTGTATATAACCTAAACCACACACCTTAACTACTTAGGAGGCTGAGATCTGAGAATCACGATTCAAAGCCAGCTCAGGCAAGAAAATCCATGAGACTCTTACCTTCAATTAATCACCAGAAAACTGGAAGCAGAACTGTGGCTTAAACTGGTAGAGTACTAGCCTTGAATATAAAAGCTCAGAGACAGCACCCAGATCCTCAGTTTAAGCGCCATGACTAACCAAAAAAAGAAAAAAGGTGGAAATATTAAGGGAAAAAACATGGAAAAAATTAGAAAGCCTTCATTCATTGATGTTGTCCATAAAATCCAGAAAGACTGAAGAAAAAAATTTTTAAAGAGACTATTTGGAAAGATAAAAACAGGTGGGCTGGGAAGGTGGCTCAGTGGTAGAGTGCTTGCCTTGCATGCATGAGGCCCTGGGTTCAATTCAGCACCACATAAGCAGAAAAAGCTGGAAGTGGCACTGTGGCTCAAATGGTAGAGCGCTAGACTTGAGCTGAAGAGCTGAGGATCAGTGCCCAGGCCCAGAGTTCAGGCCCCACAACCAACAAAAAAAAAGAAGAAGAAAAAAGAAAAAGTGGGAAGATAAAAACAGTTTATTTTTACTCATCCAAACAACACAGAAATGTGCTGGCTTACAAAGCAAATGTGCTGGCTTACAAAGCATCTATCTTTGTGTCTAGAGCTGTATATTTCTGTTTCTCATTTAGGAGCCTCCATCACCTTCCCACAACTTCTTCAAAATGGGAATGAAGCTAGAAGCAGTGGACAGGAAGAACCCACATTTCATTTGCCCTGCCACTATTGGGGATGTCCGGGGCTCAGAGGTGCTTGTCACTTTTGATGGATGGCGAGGAGCCTTTGACTACTGGTGCCGCTTTGACTCTCGAGACATATTTCCTGTGGGCTGGTGTTCTTTGACTGGAGACAACCTGCAACCGCCTGGTACCAAAGGTAAAAATCAACCCTCAGCCCTTGGAACTAGGACCTAGATGATGAAAGAGAATACCTATAGCCGATCTTCACCAGCATGCTTCACTAATAGACAAGGAGAAGTGAGGGCCAACAACTTACATATAAACCAGAGTCTTCCAGAAAATAATCATTAGCAGTACAGAATTAAGCATCAAAAAAGCCAGGCATAGAATTTTGGATAAGGTAAAAAAAAATCTAAGTATCTCAGGCAACTACCTTCTTGCCTGATATGTGTCTTTTGCTCCAACATATTGCAGTTTGAACAATGTAATTCTAAAGGCAAATATATTCCTCAGGTATTAGGGCTATGTAATGGGCTGGAGTAACACCATGATGTGAGAGTAGTTGAGAAGGACTATAGAAGGAGAGAAAAAGCACAGACTTTGAAATAAGGCAGTCATGGGTTTGAGCTCCAGCTCTGTCTTTTATTAGCTCTGTAGCTTTAAAGAGTATACCTCTCTAAATTGTTCACTTTACATTTGAAAAAGGACACCCACTTCATAAAGTTATTGTGAGAAATAAATGATATCACATGGGCAAAATGCTTACATCTGACAAATAGCAAATATTAAAACAATTTGTATCCTAGTACTGTTGTTGCTATAGTTAAAATGTTATATTTATCATTACTATGTAATACATATTATGCTATGCCATTATTAAATATGCTTTATTATCATTGTTTTAAGACTATTATAAAAGTAACCACTACCATTTAGAGAGTATATATTAAATACTTCAGCAGTGTGCCACAGACTAAATGAATCATATACGATATTTTTATTGTAACATTAGTGGAGATCATCCAAAGTAGATTTGACTTCTCTTAGCAGTGAAAATAACAATAATCCCATCTTTCGAAATCTAAAAGATACTGGTGAATTTGAGTGAATGGAAACTAACCCTTCCTTGTCTCAGAGCCTTTTGTCTATACTTCTAGAGCATTCATTTGTTCACTAGACAAATATTTATTGAGCACCTAATTGGAAGGCAAGCTGAAGTTATAGCAGTGATAAAGATGAGCAAGCCGGGCGCCAGTGGCTTACACCTGTAATCCTAGCTACTCAGGAGGCTGAGATCTGAGGATCGAGGTTCAAAGCCAGCAAGGGCAGGAAACTCCGTGAGACTCTTATCCCCAATAAACCACTAGAAAACCAGAAGTGGTGCTATGGCTCAAGCAGTAGAGCGCTTGCGTTGAGCTGAAGAGCTGAGGGATAGCACCCAAGCCCAGAGTTCAAGCCCCACGACTAACCGAAAAAAAAAAAAAGATGAGCAGTATTCATGCCTTCATACCACTCTGATCTAGTGAGGTGATAAAAATATTTAAATCAATAAATTAAGGTCATTTCAAGAGCTGGAGTTATAACTCAGTGGTAGAGAGAAGGCCCAGGGTTGAATCCCTAGGACCCAAAGAGAAGGAGGGAGGAAGAAAAGGAGAAAAAAAGAAAGGAAGAATGAGAGAGAGAGGGAAGGAAGGAAGGAAGAAAGAAAGAAAGGAAGGAAAGAAGGGAGGAAGGAAGGAAGGAAGGAAGGAAAGAAGGAAGGAAGGAAGGAAGGAAAAAATTTAGTTTCTTTTTGAGGAGGGACTGGGTTTTGAACTTAGAGCCTCACACTTGTTAGGCAGGCACTCTACCACTCTGCCTCCCAATAATCTACTAGATAGTTTCTATAAGGGTGGCTTAAATTAGGGTAGTGATGCTTGAGATAGATTTTTGGGCAGGATGTGGAGGGGACATGCTTTGGGCTCAGAAAAGTGCCATTCCACCCATGTGCTGCATGAAACCTATACCTTCTATCAGTATTGTCATCCCTCTGCATGTGTGTGAGGTAATGGTTCTGGGAAGCAGTGAGCCTTGAAACTGGGGATGGAATCAATTTTGTTTATTTATAAGACATGCTCTGGTACTGCAGACTTTATTCAGAAATATTCTGATTTTCTTCTTACCTAGAGAAGTGTGTGTGTATGTGTGTGTGTGTGAGAGAGAGAGAGAGAGAGAGAATGTACATACACCAATACTGAGGCTTTAACTCAGGGCCTAGGCACTTTAGATTTTTTCTCTTAAGGGTGGTGTACTACCACTTGGGCCACAGCTCCACTTCTTGCATTTTACTAGTTAATTGGAGAACTTGCTTTGTACTTCTGTTCTCAGATCTCAGCCTCATGCATAGCTGGAGCCACTAGTGCCCAGCTTGCCTAGAAAATTCTGTTGTTTTACTAGATTATATAGAGCAGTTAGGCAGCTCTGAAGAGCCAGATCTGAGAGTCTGTCCAGTATTTCTGATTGCACACATGGGCTGATAAAAAGCATTACTCACTGTGTGGCTGCTGCTTTCAGAGGAGTGTGTTCACTTCTCTTCTGTGTCTCTCCAGAGACCTTAGGCTTATAATGGAAGATGGCCAGTAGGACCAGGCTCAAAAGGCAGAAAAAGTCCTTTCATGTGGCATTTCCAAACAGGTCATACACCATCATTCCAGCATTTATCATTTCATCCTTCCCTCTAGTAAGCTCCCCTGCCCATCGTTCTACCTCAGAAGGTCCCCCAGTGGATCTTTCCATGATAGCACTTCAGTGGTCTCACTCTCCATTTCCTGGCTGAGAAGCAAGTGATACAATGTGGAAAGAATGCAGTTACACAATTCATTTCACAAAACAAGATGTTCTTTGTATGTGATTCTGTTCTCTTTCTGATTATACTATCCCCTCCATCCTTCCCACCTTGTGCAAATGTTTAAAAATTCAAAGTAAGTTTCAAATGTTCCTTTCTTATGGTAAATAGGGAAAAGTAATAAATTCATTACTATTCCTTTATATACATTGTTTCCACTTATTTTCTTGGTCACTTGAAACTAATTATAATTATTTTCAGATATGTTTTATTTACAGAAAACTGGAGCTTAGGATTTAAGTGATTTATCTGTGTTCATATCTAAGTCTAAAGGGAGAAATCATGGAGATCTTCCAGTAGTGGTAGCTGTTGTTAGGCCAAGAATTGAGTGGTATTGCCCATGTTCCATTCTCCACTGGCTTCACCACTTCCAAACTTTATTTGAAAACCTGGTTGTGGACTTCCAAATCCCTGACAGGAAATACAAAGAAATGGTATGGTATAACATTGCACTGAGTTCTAACCCCAATGGGAGCACATGCTTGTTTTGTCTTTTGAGAATATCATTCTACAAGACAAAGAGTGAAGCTGTACTAGTTCTTTGAAGGGCCTCCCATCTCTTTAGTAACATGGAAATACTAATGTTGGTAATAGGTAGCAAACAACTCCTGACAAATCTCCTGCTTAATTCCAAAGAGACCAGCTCACTTGCCACACAGCTCTACTCTCTAAAGAGAATCTTGCATGCCTGCTGTTCACGGCCTCTCCTGTTCTCTTTCACTAAACTAGTTGAAGTTCTTTGACCTCCCAAAATGATGGATAGGAACTACCAACCTTCCAGCTAATCCAGCATTCTTACTTAGAAAAGGGCCAGAAACTTTTGTTTCTTATTTCTTTTTTAGATCATTTTGAGTGACTTAAAACTGAAAGACACATGTTTTATTTTTTAATCTAAAAAGCAAAGTAGCTGAGCATTGGTGGTTCAAGTTTATAATCCTAGCTACTGAGGAGGCTGAAATCTGAAAATTGAGGTCCAAAACCAGCCCAGGCAAGAAAGTCTATGAGACTCTTATCTCTTACAAACCACCAGAAACCCAGAAGTGGTGCTGTAATTCAAAGTGGTACCGTGCTAGCCTTGAGCAGAAAAGCTCACAGAGTCAATGCCCAGACCCTGAGTTCAAGCCCCAGGATCCTTCCCCCCCCCCCCCCCATCACATACACAAAGTGACAGAATGCTAGCCTTGAGTAAAAAAAGCTAGAGTGTAGTCCTTTAGTTCAAGATCCAATCCAACAAAAACAAATAAATAAAAAGCATTGCTCTGATTTGATGCTGGAGAAGTCACTTTCAGATTGTAGTTTAGCTAGCTTTGCATATATTTTTAACAGGTAGAGAACCTGTCTATGCCATGACGTGCTTATATTTTTACTTAAAATTAGTATATTGCTATTCTGGATTATACAACAGACTCCTATGACTTCATATAGTGTTATTGTCTCTGTCTGTCTTTATACCTGCTAATTCAAATATGAAAGCCAGTGGAAGTTCTGCCTTTGAGTGCACCTGTTGAGCTAAATATACAAACAAGACTTTCCAAAAGTCTCTTCCTTTTTTCTATGAGAAGTAATGTTTATACTTTTAAGGATTTTTCTCTTTTTTGTTATTATAAAACTATACAGGACATGATGATAAAATACATTTTAGAATCGGGAACAGAAAGATAGTTGATAAAATTTTAATCCTAGACTACAGAGGGAAAACTAGAGACAAGAACAGTACAACTAAAATAATAAATCCTAGGCTACAACATGTATAAACAAGTTCTAGCTATCAGGTTACAACAAGCCTAGTCATTGGCTCAGTTAGCTGCCTTTGGAACTCACAATTCTGTGACAAGACAAATAGAGAATTTTAATTGCTAAAGTAGCAACATACAGGAGCTGGGAAGGTGGTTCAGTGATAGAGTGCTTGCCTTGCATGCATGAGGCCCTGAGTTCAATTCCTCAGCACCACATAAGCAGAAAAATCTAGAAGTGGTGCTGTGGCTCAAGTGCTAGAGTGCTAGCCTTGAGCTGAAGAGCTGAGGGACAGCGCCCAGGCCCAGAGTTCAGGCCCCATGACCAACCCTTCCCTCCCCCGCAAAAACGTAGCAACATACAGAGGACTCAACTTTGATGAGTGATTGGAGGTTGGAGGTCAGGGTTCTAGATTAAGGAATAGTTAAAATGATCATGGAGACAGAACGATAGCCAGCAGTGAAAGCAGATGAGTGAAGACAGAGTTTTTGTTTATTTTTAAATTAAAAGTATAGTTGAGGCTGGGTAACAATGGCTCACACTATAATCCTAGCCACTCAAGAGGCTGAGAGCTGAGG